CAAACGATGCGGACACGGGTCCTTTTTGGGCTCATGCTCATTCTCGTCCACCGTAATCCCGGCTGCCTCGCCAAATTTTTTCGCATCTTGGGAAGCGCAACCCGAACAGTCCTTGAGAATCGATCCCAGACACGATTTCAGGTAGACTGCAGCGGAAGCGACGGATTTGGCTCCGTCGTCCTTGACTTGGTCAGAGCAGAAAACCTGGACCTCGTCCAGGGCCGAAGTCAGTTTTTTGATGAGATTTTCCAGTTCGATTTCCAAGGATGTCTTGGGCTTGTTTCCTGACTCGGAAACTGATGGATTGGGGGACTTTTTTCGACACGACGGCCCGTCATCATCGTCCATCAACCGTTTTTGGGATGGGCCTTCTGTTGTGGATTTTGGTTGATCTGGCGACGGGATCTTCTCGTCTGATTCCGCAGCTAGATCTGAAAATAAAAAGAAAGAAAACATCGTCTTTGCTGCTTTGAGAAGGAAATAAAAAATGTGTGTAACAAATGTCTTCTTGATCATTATACCTGTACAGTATTGGGAAGGGAACTGGGAAATTAAGAGAGCGTGATTTCTAAATTTCGCCACTAGATTTCTTCATTATAGCGACGCTAGCTGGCGACATCTGGGAGAAAAACTCGGAGGAAATTTCCGATGCGTCATTGATATCAGCGCAAAAACTAAGCGAAAACTTCGCATCCAAATCCAAGTTATCTAACCAAACTGATTTTAATGTACTAAACTGTATAAGCGAACCAAACTTGAAATTCAATTCAACCGAGAGGTAGATGCTCTGGCACAACTTATAATAAACCCAACCGAAGCAGCAGTTAATTTGCGTCAGTAAAATTCCTTCACAACGACGGGTCTCGTTATAAGGAATTTTTTTCTTGGTCTGAGCAGTTCCTTCATAGGCGCCATCTTGTAAAAAACTAATTTTAACGAACGCATTTTAGGCTATAATCTCAGTATAACACACTTTTCGCCCGATTTTGTAAATAGGCCATGCATAGGAATCATTTTTTTAATTAGCAGAAAAATGCATTTAAAAACGTCAAACCGGTGCAGCATTCTAAATTCTTCAAAAAGCAAAAACTCATTAAAAAAATAGTGTTTATAAAATGTATAGCATTACATTATTCTCGAATTTTTTTATACCTCCATTTGAGAATGTATGCCTTCCTTCCAAGTGAACAAGATGTTCGGAAGAAGTATCCTTTATTTCGAAGAACAAACTTATATGAACGAATAAGTGGAAGGAAGTATTCCTCATCCCAAATGTGTTTTTTTTAAGCATTTTATTTATCAAGACAAACAGCACATTATTAGAAGCGAGAAAGGCAGGTTCAATATAAGAGAAGAACAGTCTAAACAAAAATGTTCCGCTTTATTTCAGCGGAGAGACTTACACAATATGGGAGCATGTCTTGAATTATCTGTTTTAGGAACATTTCACAGTATTTATTACCCGTTTTCCACAAAGTTTGAGTCTAAAATGTTATGAAAACCATATATCGCTACATAACGAAATATTAGTTATAGCTATTATTTTTCAGGTCCCTAGGAGTTTGTTGTACAAAAAAATTTTACTGTGCTGTATAAAATTGTGGCGGGAGATTACTTTGTTTTCCCTCACGTAGATGTCGCCAAGCGCGGCTCTTGATAACGAGCGTATCGAGAAGTTCGTCGCTTCGGACCGTGAAGTAAATCAATGACAAAAAAAAATAAGCTCGAAGAACAGAGGGGCTTTTTAGACTGAAGTAAATGCAGTAGTTATGTCACATGCTATGTGAAAACATTCGAAAGAAAGAAAAGATTCACCTGTGTTCGTCTGAGGGCATGGTTCCACCATTTCCGGATTGTCAGACTCGCGTTCGTTAACTAATTCAGCAGCTTTCCCAGAGTTTTCCTCGTCCACTTGATTGCTTGCGAAATACACCAAAAAGTCAGTTTTATGCTGCGGCTTTTGGTGATGTGTTGAAGAAGCGATGAGATCGCGTTCCAGCCGTTGGATTTTATCCATGAGACTCAATTGAGACTCGATGTGTTGAGCGCGAATCCGTTTGAGAGTCGACGCAATTTCGTCTTCGTCCACCAACTCTGACTTTTTGGGTTTCTGGCTGCAAATTCCGTCTCCTCCTGCACCAGCCTTATTGTAGCAGATGGATGATGGGTTGCTGAACCCGTGATCGTTGGGATTCACGCCTGATGGGCTTCGATTTTGATTCCATGTGGTGGTTGCTGGTTGGAGAGAGGGTTGCGTACCCAAAGTTGGTGACTGATGATGAGTTACCCCTGTAAAATGCGGATGTAGGTTCTTTTCTTCCAGTAGATCCAAGCTTAGAGCTCGTGAACTCAAAGTGATCATCTCTTCAAACTGATGACTCACCTCAAGTTCCCCAGATTTTTTGCCTAAAATAATTTGAAATTTTATTTAGCGCACGAATAAATATTTTTATTTAATTAATTTTGTTTGACCTTAAGTGCTTTGAATATTTGGAAATTGCTCAGAAGGAATTCACTGTTTGCTGAATGGTTTCATAGTTGACCTAAAGAAGACAGCCAAAATGAACGTCAATAATATTTTTCGAAAAGGATTTATGATTTCGAATGAATCGGTGTGATAAACACGTGTTTATGAAGATCAACACGTTTTCGGAGAAAAAAGGTGCCAAATCCGTGGTTGCGTCGAAAGATCAGAAAAAGAAAATGCAGCGTTTATGCGAGGAGGACTAAAATTTTCGAATGCTTTCATCAGCCAGGCAAGACTGCTGAAAATTTAAAAAAGTAAGGAGAAAAAAAAGCGCGAATGAATGAAACTTCATTGGAAGTTCTCTATGTCCAAATGGATTTTCTTGAAGTCATTTTTGTTGTTCGAAAATCTGTTTTCGTTTTCTTTTGCACCCCGTATAGCACCAAATTGACGTACTGTATCTCTGAATTACTAGGTGATTTGTGTGAAATACTGTACTTTTCGAAAGAAAAAAAACGTTTTGATTTTTTGAAAATAAATTCATTAGTCTAATACAGTAAAAAATAATTTTACCTAAGGTTCTGTACCGCAGTTTACGCATCGACACTACATACAATTCCATTTTCTAGGTCGAGTCTTATTAAATCGAAAAAACACAAATAATTCATTCCAGAAAAAATAATGTTTTCAATTTTAGTCCGATTTCGGGGTACAAAACTATATTCATTTTTTCTTTACAATGAAAAAATGCATCTCGAAGAAAATAATCGAAACGAAAATTGCTAAGAAATTTCTGCGCTGTCCTCTGCAAAAAAAAAAATTCCAAATGACAGTTTGTGGAAAATCATAAGGCGGATGAAATTCCGAAGTTTCTGCAAAAATTAGATTGAACCATGTATTTCTGAAAGAGGTAATTCTTCCTTGGCAAAGCAAAATTTTTCACACAGTGTAAATTTCCAGTTGAAAAACAAACGAAAAATAAACTTACTGACGGTACCGAGATTCGAAGACTGGTCGTCACAAGCAAAACACACAATGGCCGCCTTCATCTTCTCAACTCTCTGCTCCAAAACCCGGTTCTTTTCTTCGCTCGCCATCAAAGCCTTTCTCGCAGAATCTCGTTCTGCACGGGCTTCGCTCAAATCCAACCATAGACCCGGAGACGATTTCAAGTTTTCCACGAGCACAGTGACGTTGTCGACGATGTCGTTGACGGTCGTCAGCGTATTGCTGAGGATTTTCTGTCGCTCGGCTTGAAGGAGTTTCGTTTCGGAGACCTTTTCGATCGGATTGGCGGAAGATGTTGATGATGATGAGGGTGGATGTTGTGTGTTGTTGTTGTTGTTGTTGTTTGTGTTGATGTTGTTGGAGACAACGTTGATTCCGGTGCGACGAAGTCTGCGTAGATCCCGGACTTGACTTGGCTCATTGTCGGCTTGTAATGTCTGATTTGCATTCGGAAATAAATAATACAGTGATCAGTTTTACCCCGGATAATGGCCATTCTGCCTACTCCTGTGCAAAATATTTCTCGCGTGATTTCGGACAGTGGACTGCAATAAAAGTGGTCGTCTTTTACAAAATACTGTACAAGCTTTTCATCTAAATTGTGGCTCCCAAAATAATCTTAAAATTCGATGAATTATTTTTTCTCAATTGCTTCGAACTTTTTTTATTTTCTGTAAGTTCCACGAGCGTTTTTTTTTCATGTCGAAAATTTATTTAATTGTCTGAAATTTCTGGAAAAAAACAAAAGGAATCTATAGATAATGATTCTGCGTATATCTTCGCGTTCTTTAGTTGAGACTTTTCGGGTGTCCGGAAAGAGTCATTATTCATATCATACAGCATATCGTAATTATATTATGAAGCCTTTTGTAATAACGCGATAATTACAATAAACTTATCTGAAGGAAGTCTTCCAATTATGACGCCCAATACTTCACTCATCGTTCCTCATTTATTGAGAGGCTGATGGGGAAAAAATGTCCCATAAATTGGTAGTTCATGCAAAACAAAATTCAAGTCGCAAACTTACCTTTGAGCAGAAATGTATGGCTTACAGCCAAAAATTGAAAAAAAATGAAGACAATCCTGCGTTTGTTATTTTTTTCATTATCGCGAAACACTCGTCGATACTATTCCGATATAAATTGCTTTTTTCAATCGTGACATGAAAATTTCCGGCCGATATAATGTTTCTCGTTTTTTTAATCTTACGTCCTGAAACAAGGAAGGAGTTGCATTTGCGGAAAAAAAAACTAGTTTCATCTATCGTTTTGTTCGGGAAGCTGTGATTCAAGTGATATGTTAGAAAAGACTGAAGGCCATTTTTTCGTTGATTTAAAAATCTTTTAAAATCTCAGGAACCCTTAGTTTTTGTCTAGAAAATGCTTCTTAAATTCCTTTGCACAAATCTAGGTAAAATCAATGTTTCTCAGACCATCGATCGAAATCGTAAACCGTTGTTGATGTCACTGTGAGTGAAGTCGAGTCTTCATTGTTGAAAAATAAATTAACTGTTTAAATTAATGAAAAAATAAATATTCTGTATTTTCCCTCCCAATTCGAGGCAAGAAAAAAAACCAAGGCGTCCTCGGGGGGGAATTGGACGTGTTATCGAAATTCATAATTTTTCTCGCTGATGTTGATCAATACATGTATTTTAGAATTTCGAAACTCACATTGATGTTTTTGGAGACCTGGTCGAGTTTCTCGAGTAGGGCCTTGACGTCCCTGCAGGCGTGTGATTTCCTCAGGCGGTAATTTTCCTTCTCTAGAATTGCATTTCGTCCCAAGACTGCGTCCAGTGTGTCGGCAATTTCTGATCGTGTTTTGTAAGAGCTGATTGATTTACTGCGCGTCTTGTTCGTCTCGCTCTTATTGGCCTTGTCCTTCCTCACAGAATTGACTTTACAATTGATGGATGTTGGATCCAAGTTTTCCCCGGGTTGATCCTGAAATTGCAGGTGAACCTTGATAAGTCGAATACCTTCCTTAAGTCAAGATTTTTTTTTTTCAAGTCCCTGCTTGAATTTTCTTGGACACTGTCGCGAATTTTCGGGATGAGTTCGAGGGAAGACGAGTTTGTTGAGGTACAAACTACTGTAGTCTTCACCACCCTTTTGGAATTCCTGGAATTTGGGGAAAATCCCTGGGCTCCCTGGAATTCCTCAGGTGGTGCAAACTGACCTCTGAGGTTGGTTTCACTGAAACTCTGTTTTTATATCTTTGTAGCCATCTCTGGCCAACTCCCAGTATCCTTGAAGGATACTTTTCCTGATGCCTTCTCTTTCATATTTTTGTCAATTCTGAATCGTGTTTGTGGTGTTTGAAAGATCCTGCAAAATTTCAAAGTGTCTGATTCTGTTTAACTGAAATATACCAACATTGAAATTGGGTATAAAACCCAACCAAATCCTTGAGTTTTATTTTATTAAAAGTCAGTTTTGCTTAATTCTTAACAGACACAATGCATTAAAAAACCTCCTCAACTCATAGGCTTATCCTCTAGAGTCTAGAACCTTCATAAGTCATATTTTCTCTGGCCTATCCTTTTTTGACAGAGAAAGAACAAAAAAGCAACAAAAAAGGGAATTGTATGCGTTTTGAAAGGATCTGAAAGACTCAATTGGGCCAATGAACCCCCGTCTCAAAATGCTCCATCCTTTCACCTCATGTTAGAAGCAATTTAAGGTCCAGAATTTCACCATTTACAATTTAGTGCAATTCTCTTTCCCGCAACAAAAATGCTTGGTTTCACAGCTAAAAAATCTATAACTCCAAACATCCCTAAGTCAAAATTTGTTTTTCTGGTCCATTGAAATTCGGCTTAGAGAGGTTCAACTGCATTCAAAAAATACACATCAAAAGTGATCGGGATTCATTTATTTTTCGTATTTGATGATGGAGTGTGTGGAGTGAAAATCATCTGAACTCTATACGGAATCCCTATCTCAATTTTTAAAACTTTCATCAGGGTACTTCGTCTTTGGAAGTTGCAGACTTTGCTGCATGTACGCTGAAATAAATACAAAATAAATTAAATTGAAGATGGAAAAGTTTGCAAAAAATTTCTTCAGCAACGTTTTTGATACCCATTTTTTCTTGAATCTGATTCTGTAATTTCAGGCGCATGGATAATGTGATCGAACTTCACAGTTTAAATTGTTTGATCGCGACGTGTCTTCAGGACAAGTATTCTTAGCAAATTTCACGGACACGGTAGTTGATGTTTAGGAAGAATTTGTGTGGTTCAATGTTTGAAGGGAAATTGGGGATTTGGGGAGAAGAATTTTGCAAATCCTTATCTCTTACTAGATGTCAAGAACGATCCAACGGGATCAGAATTTCATTTTTTGGAAAAGTGGGTAGAAATGGACGAATCAGGAGAATAATTTGCGAATCATTTGTTCAGTCAGATGTCAAGCAGATTTTCTTCTTTTTCGTTATCAGAATTTCAGTTTGTG